GCTTCCACTGCAGGGGGTGCAGTTTCGATCCCTGGTCAGGAAATTAAGATCCTGCATGCTGCATGGTGCGGCCAAAAAAATAAAACAAAAACAACAAACAAAAAACACCCAGTCCTGCCCTCTGAGCTCACAGAAACGGTTCTGACCAGTTGGTTTTCAAAGCAGGAGGTCCCGGGAGCCCCAGCTCTACCTGGGGGTGGGGGTGATTCTAGATGGTGTGGCAACCCCACAGGCCAGGACTCAAACCCAGAAGGTGCAGCTGGGTAGCCCTGGCCTCCCCCCATGCCACGGGGCCCACGAACGTGGACACGACAGCCAAAGAGACGAGACCAAAATGGCAGAAAAGTGGACTGGGGGGACCCATGAGGACATGTGTAAACAGAACGCTTTGTTAAAGCTCTGTAATTATACTTTTGAGCAAAAAATGAGACTCCACGATAGACGGAACCTGTCCCAAGTTTACATACAAAGTATCAGATTTCCATCTTTTGAAGGGTTGACAAAAACTAAAATGGAGCGGCTCCAAAATAAGTAGAACTGATGTCCCAGGAAGATGACTCGATGTCAACCACAATAACCCAAAAGTCAGAAGCAAACTCCAGGCCAAATCCCAGCCTGCTGGCGGCGACAGGGCCACCGGCAGCAGCATCCTCTGAGCCCATTTCCTGGTCTGTAGAGCGGGAAGCCGAGGCGCCCTCGGGCGGGGGGACTCCTCTGGTCCCTCCCCACTCAGGCTGCCCCTCCACCCTGGGCCATCCTCTCCTCTGCCCAGGACCCTCTCCAGAGTCACAAACGCCCTGGGTCTCTGGTGGCTTGGCTCAAGTGAAGCCACTCCCTTCTTAAAAACGCCCTCCTCTGCCCATCAGCGAACACCCACCTCTCACTCCCTTCTTGACACCCCCGTTCACTGCCTCCCCTTCCTCAGCTCCCCGGCCTGGGGCCCCTGCCTGGCCACCTCCCACCCCAGTCACCCGGCTATAACGCAGTGAACATTCAGGGACCTTCCCCCCCCCCCCCGCCCCCTGACCCTGCCGGGGACACTGATGACCAGCTCTTAAAAGGCCATCATCTCTTGGGCTTCCCAGATGGCACAGTGGTTGGGAATCCACCTGCCAATGCAGGGGACACGGGTTCGAGCCCTGATCCAGGAAGATCCCACATGCCGCGGAACAACTAAGCCCGCGAGCCACAACTGCTGAGCCCACGCTCCAAGAGCCCATGCTCCACAACAAGAAAAGCCACAACGATGAGAAGACTGCGCACCGCAACGAAGAGTAGCCCCCGCTTGCTGCAACTAGAGAAAAGCCCGCGCAGCAATGAAGACCCAACACAGCCAAAAATAAAATAAATTAAAATAAATAATTTTTTTTTTTAAAAGCCCTCATCTTGGGGTCTCTGACCACTCCTGGGTTTCCTCCTGTTTCTCCGACTGCTTCCCTTCCTTCCCTGTGGTCGCATCTCTCTCCAGGGCCCCACGGGTTAAGGCCTTGGTTCCCACCAACAGCCACATCCCTGGCCGGGGGCGTCCACCACCCACCCAGATGCTGCAAATACCAGCTGCTCTGTTTCCGTGAGCTCAGCAGTTGTGGCTTGCGGGCTCTAGAGCACAGGCTCAGTAGTTGTGGCGCACAGGCTTAGTTGCTCCACGGCATGTGGGATCTTCCTGGACCAGGGCTCGACCCCTTGTCCCCTGCATTGGCAGGTGGATTCTTAACCACTGCGCCACCAAGGAAGCCCAAGCAAACTTAATCTTATCTGTCCCCATTTTGCAGATGACAAAAAACAAGACTCAGCGGTTAGAAGTCCACACAACTGGCAGATGCTGAGTCAGGATTTGAATCCAGGTCTCCATAGCTCCCCTACTGCTGACTCTACCAAACCCTTTGCCACCCACGGTGAGAGTACCCTCCCTCCCAGGCTACCTGCATACAAGCTGTTAGACATGATTGGGGTTGTAGGGGAAGAGCAAAGGAAGGTGTAAGCGCCGAAGGCTTCACAGAGGAGGTGGTATTTGAGTTGAGTCTTAGAGAAAGAGATAGTAATAATACTGAACCATTCAACCAGTCCTTCAGACAAAAAGGGAAGTCCCAGATGCCAAACTATGGCCCTGGGCAAGGGACACCTACTGGGCCTGGCTGTAGCATTAGAACATGTGTCAGTGGTCCCCAAAGCCATCCCCAGTTTCAGTGATTCAACAGGAAGATTCACAGAACTCAGCATATAGTCTTACCTGCAGCTGTGCTCTATTACAGCAAAAGGATACAAAGCAAAATCAGTGCAAGCACGTGGAGTGACGTCCAGAGGAAACCAGGCATGAGCTTTCAAGCATCCTCTCCCAGTGGAGTCACACAGGAGGCGCTTCATTCCTCCAGCAAAAACTTGTGAAAACACATGAGAGGTGTTGTCAACCAGGGAAGCTCAGTAGAGATTCCGCTCCCCAGGTTTTTACTGGGAGCTGCTCACGTAGGCACCCTCTGCCTAGCACATACCCAAATCCCAGAGTCCCGGGAGGAAACGGGTGTTCAGCACAGACCACACTGTTTGCACAAACACTTTGGGTCACTCTTACCAGGGAACAGCAGGAACCCTCCTGAAATCCAAGTTCCCAGATGCCAGCCGGGGACCAAATGCAGGTTGGCCTTTTATATATATGTATATATGGGGATTTTTTTAATAGAAATATTATTGTTTTACAGTGTGTGTTACCTTCTGGTGTACAGCAAAGTGATTGAGATATAGATATAGATATATACTTTTTCAGATTTCAGATTCTTTTCCATTATAGGTTATTACAAGATATTGAACATAGTTCCTGTGCTGTACTGTAGGACCTTGTTGTTTATCTCTTTTACATATAGTAGTATGTATTTGCTAATCCCAAACTCCTAATTTATCCCTCCCCCTCCACCCTTTCCCCTTTGGTAGCCATATGTTTGTTTTCTATGTTGGTGAGTCTGCTTCTGTTTTGTAAATGAATTCATTTGGATCATTTTTTTTTTGGTTCCACCTATAAGTGATATCATATGATACTGTCTTTGTCTGACTCCACTTAGTATGATAATCTCTAGGTCCATCCGTGTTATTTCATTCCTTTTTTTATGGCTGAGTACTATTCTATTGTGTGTGTATGTGCGTGTGTGTGTGTGTATCACATCTTCTTTATCCATTCATCTGTCGATGGACACTTAGGTTGCTTCCCTGTCTTGAGTATTGTAAATAGTGCAAGCAGTCCTTTTCAAGAATAACGGTCTCAGACCCACTGTTAACACTTTTCTGCACAGGGAATGACACCTTTCTCTCCATATCTCTTTTTGAAGTGACCCAGGAAATGGTTTTTCTGTGCCTGTGGCCGTGATGTGTTGAGAAAATTCTAGTTTACCATGAAGATAATTTCAACAAGTTTCCTAGGAAATAACCTTGAGCTAGGCAAGAACTGGCAGGCAGGGGGTGCTGGCGTGGGGGCAGGTTTGAAGAGCCTGAGAGCTCTAGACCAGCAGTGAGTAGGCCCAGCTGCTGGCCCTCAGCCGGCTACTCACTCAAGTTCCAACTTGGTCAAGCGTGTCCCAGAAAGGAGCCTCAGTTTCTCTTCTCCATGTGTCTCCATCCACAGCAGGCCACCCGGGGCAGCTGGGCCACAAGGTTTCTTAAGGCCTCGCCTCGAAAGTCATTTAACATTTACTTCTGTCACATTCTAGTGGTCAAAGAAAGACAACAGCCCAGTCCAGATTCAAGGGGAAGAGAAATAGACACACCTCTTGATGGGAAGAGTGGCAGCGTCACAGTGCAAAGGGGTGTGGAGACAGGAAGTGGTAGAAATTGTAGCCAACTTTTGCATCAACCACACCATCTCCCCCGTGTGCCCTTCATTCATTCATTCATTCATCCATTCATTCATTGCACGCTTGAACACCCCCTAGGTTCCCAGCATTTACCAGACATGGGACACAGAGGTGACCTTGTCCTCATGGGGCCTCGAGACTGGTGGGGAAACAGATGAATAAACCGATATGTGCTACAAAGTTACAAGGAATGAGCATTTACTTTATAGATCTTTCTTTACACAGCACCTTTTTCCATAAAGAATGGAATCAGCCTGCCAAGGCACAAGCAATAAAATTATGAATTTTAACCCCCAAAGAAAATTTAAACCGAAAGGGTAAAGAAGATAGTGTCTATTGAATAGCCAAGCATCTTACACACATTATCTCCCTCCATCTTTTCCATAACCCTGAGGTGAGTATTATTATTCCCCTTTCATAGTTAAGCAAACTGAGGCTCATGGCAGATAAGTGACTCACCCAAGTTCACACAGGTCCTGAGTGGCAGAGCTGAATCACAGTGCTGAGTCTGGCCTTAAAGTCTGTATGCTACAACAGAACAGCTGTAAAAGAGCTTCAGATTTGACTGAGCTTCCTAGCAGCCTGGGGGAAAAGGGAAACTGAACATAATGCCCGACTGATCACTAGACAGGAAAAAGCCAGGCATTTCATTGAGGGGAAGCAAAGCCCTTCCTAGCACTCAATTAAGTTTTCTTTGCTCAAGGGAGAGTTGATGAAAGAGAGCTTGTGGGGTGGAATTGATGGGGCTCAGCTTGGACTGTCCAAGTTGAATGATCCTTCCGCTTATATGCAGGGAGGTTCTGTCCTCCAGTAATCATCTTCCTCTGGGGTGTGTGTGTGTGTGTGTGTGTGTGTGTGTGTGTGTGTATCTGTGTGTGTGTTTTTTTCTCTGTGTCACCATCTTTCTCTTTTTTATCCCTCTCTGTCTCTTTTGCCTCTGTACCTCCCTTGCTCACACCCAAAATGCAAAGAGTCCCCGCTACCCAAAACTGTGCTGGTTTTTAGGAAGTGCTGCTACATCAAGAGACTATGCACCAGACCCCAGCAGGACAGGACTTCCTCCCCACACTGTGCTGGGCGGGGCAAACGGGAAGGGGCCTGTTGTAGCTGAGATGACACATCCCTGCCTGAGCAGCAGCTGGGTCAGTGGGCCACAGGAGCACAGGCCACCTTTCCCCGGGGGCTTCAGAATGGACTTGTGCCACCCAGGTAAGCACCTGGGCCGACCTGTCAGTTTCCTGTTCTGTAGAATGGGGATAATAGTGCCTGCCTCACAGGAATCGGCGTGTAAATAGATATAACACAGACGGGACATGCAGAAGCAGGCAACAGATATTTATGAGCTTAGGCTACGTGCCAAGCTGTGTTGCATATGCTGGGAGTCCCGCGAACAAAGCAGGCATGGCCCCTGCCCTCATGAGCTTACGCTCTAGAGGGGGAGACAGACTGTAAATATATGAATGTACTATGTCAGGTGGTGACAAGCAGAATGAAGACCAGTAAAGTGAGATAAGGAAGATGGGTGGCTGGAAGTCCTCAAGAGGAGACACCGTTTGAGCAGAGACTTGTAGGAGGGAAGGGAGTGATCCATGTGGGTTTCTGGGGAAAGAAGATTCCAGGCAAAGGAACAGCCAGTGCAAAAGCCCTGAGGTGGGACTGAGAAAGGTTGTTGGTGTTGAAGAGGATGATGTCTGTGAGAATGATAACTGTCTGGGTGGCACAAGGGCCCTGCAGCCCGTTTGGCCTCTGGTGGGTGACAGTGGCCTTTGCGGAGGCTGAGGGCACCACTTTTGCCAGTGGAGCGGCCAGCAGGGGACCATGGCTGAGATCCTACCTGGTAAGCAGAAGAGGAGGCTGTCAGTTGGTACAGGAAGAGGACAGGACTGTGTTATGTTGTCTCTGTTGTTTCTGTGAGGCCGAGAGGAGAGCTGCCAACTCTCTGCGCCCTGCATCTCAGAACGTTCCAGCATGGCCTGGAACTCCAGAAGACAAGGGTTGCCAGGAGCTGTCCAGTTCCCCAGGCCCAGATGACGTGAACCCTGTTAGCCACAGACCCCTTTCTTCAAACAAAACCTAAGACAAAGCAGTCTGAGCCCACTCACTGGGCCTCCCCTCGCCCCAAGTGTTCTGGGGAACACAGAGAACCACTGATCCATTTCAACAGCCCCCATTTACAGCTGGAACAAAGGAGGCCAGGAGAGGGACAGTCTTGCTGAGGCAGGATGACTCCCCACCTCCAAGCTCCCTGTCCAATGCTCTCTCCTCGAATCCCGTGCTTCTCCTGGGGGCTTTTGGGGGCAGGTGGCTCGCGGACTGTACGGCTCGGTGAACACATCTTAGGGGCAAGTAGGGACGCAAGCAGAGACCCAGGAGGAACAGTGCCTGGCTCAAGGTCACTCAGCAGATGCGAGGGTGACAAGAAACAGTGAAGTAATCCCCCTACAACACTGCCTGTCTTTCCACCGTTATTCGTGGGGTCTTCGTGTACAGAAGTCCTTAGGGTGGTTGCGTCCATAATGCAAAGAGGAAACGGAGGCTCACAGAGGTGAACTGGAGAAAAGGGCGGAATTGCCCAAAGTCGGGCGGCCAATAAGTGTCAGAATAAGGGTAAGATCTGAGAAGAGTGAGAGCCCCAGCTGAGCCTGGGCTGTCAGGGAGGGGAGGGGCGAGGCCTCCCAGGGAGGCCAAGAGGTGAGTCACTGCTTTGCTTCAGGCTGGTCCTGGGACGACAGGGATTGAATGGAGTCACTGCAGGCAGTCTCTTGGGAGATGTGAGGACTCCACTGATCAGTTCATCTACTCATTCATTCATTCAATAAGCAGTCCTCTGGTGTGCAGGTCCTGGGCTGTGCAATGCTAGAGACAGCAATGACCCAGCCCCAGGCCCAGCCCTGAGGGAGCTGCTGGCTCGGGAATGGGGGGAGGGGTAGAAAACCCTATAGGACAGTGACCCAGGGCAGATGTGCAAATGGGCACAGACCTGCAGCCTGGGAGAGAGCGACTCTCTCTACCCGGGGCAAGGGAGCTCTGGGAAGACTTCCTGGAGGAAGTGGAGGGAGGGAAGGTCATTTCTCTGCTACCCAGACTGGGTTTTACTCGGAGCTCCTTCACAGCCTGGTGACTTGCCCTCTCTGAGCTCCGATTTGTCATCTCTAAGTGGACACCATCATCCTGGCCTCACCCCGGGGAAGTGGGGAAAGAAAAAGGATTTGGAGTCAGCCCGACCTGGCTCAGATCTCAGCTGTGCACCAACCTGCCAGTGGTCATGATGGGCCTCTTCCTTCTGTGGGTTTCAGTTTCCCTGCTCATACAATGGACAGGATGGTGGCAAAGGGGCTGGCTGCCCTCCTCCAGCTGTGGGTGTCTGACACCCAGAAGCAGGTCCCCTCCCCCTAGGTCTGCTGAAAAGCTGAGAGGTCCAGGCAACAAAGCCCCAATGTGACCAAAGACAGCCGTGGGGCTGGTGCAGCAAGACTGCAGATTAAAAATAGAGGCGGATGGGTTGGGGGAGGAAGCCACACGATTTGATGCGCCTGCAGGCCCTCTGGGGCTGGGGCGGGGTGCAGCTCTGCTAGCCGCCCCCCATCTCAGACCCCCTCGCACCCAGACTCTGAGAAGCCTCTGCCTTTAGGGCCCCAGGATCGCCCCCTCCTCCTGCCCTGGAAAGGGGAAGCGGGGCCAGCTGTCCTGGAAGCCAGGCTGCGAGCAGATTTCTAAAAATATGATGGGAAAGAGGAAGGACAAAGGGGAAGTAAGGAGGAGCTGGGGAGATGCCCGGGGCGGCACCTGGGCACACTCAGCTGGCCTGGGCACGGGGTGCGGAGGGCAGCGCAGCCGCGGGGTGCATGGGTCGGTGCCCAAGGGCGGCCTCCACGAGGTGTGGGAAGAACAGCCCAGTGAGGAGTAAACAGAGCTCATGGTGGTGGCGGTTGTTACCATCATTTTAATACCTTTGTGTTTTTGATCATTATTGTCACTATTATTATCATTAAAATCCATCTCCCATGAGCTGCACCAGTGCCTGAAACTCCATCATCACTAGGCTTGGAGTCAGTAGTGACCCCCCTCAGGCTGTGTCCTTGTCACCCTCCCTGCACCTCAGTGTCATCAGCTCTGAAATGGAGAGAAATCCCCACTTTTAAACAAATAGGTGAAGGGTTGGAAGACACCCCCCTCCCCATGCACCACGGGTTGAGTGCCACAGGCTCGGGGCTGTCAGCACTGTTTCAGGGTTCAGATGTACTCGGCCCGCTGCCACTGTTGGGGTCAGGACCTGACAGAAGGGGACAGTGAACTGAGAGGGTTCAGGAATGCACCTGTCAAACCACGAAAAGAGCTGCATGAAAAAAAAAGGCAAAGAACCCCTCTCTACGCTCACTCCAGCCCACTCTCCCAGGAAAAAGGAAAAAGCATTTTCCCCAGCTCTACCATGTTGGCCTTGTTTCTTTGTTGTTGTTGTTTGTTGATTGGTTGGGTTTTTTTGGCTGTGTTGGGTCTTCGTTTCTGTGCGAGGGCTTTCTCTAGTTGCGGCGAGCGGGGGCCACTCTTCATCGCGGTGCGTGGGCCTCTCACTATCGCGGTCTCTCCCGTTGCAGAGCACAGGCTCCAGACGCGCAGGCTCAGTAGTTGTGGCTCACGGGCCCAGTTGCTCCGCGGCATATGGGATCTTCCCAGACCAGGGCTCGAACCCGTGTCCCCTGCATTGGTCGAACCCGTGTCCCCTGCATTGGCAGGCAGATTCCCAACCACTGTGCCACCAGGGAAGCCCTTGGCCTTGTTTTATTTCTTACCCAAAAAGAGAAAGGGGCTCAGACTGTAGACATCATCCAGCATCTTGTCTTCATTCTCCTTGGTGGTCAGCCATGGTCAACATTTCTGTGTCAGAATATCCAAGCTTAGCGTCTTGATGGGGTTTTGATGATTTGCGCAGAGATACCTGGCTTCTGAAGATCGGTGCGAGGGTTGTGGCCTTGGAGCCCCAGATGAGTGTAAATCACAGCTCTGCCACCTTCCAGCTGTGTCCCCTTGGGCAGGTCACTTAACCTCTCTGAGCTTTGGGTGCCTCATCTATAGAATGAGATTTAGAAATACCTTCCTCCAGAGCTGTGGTCAGGATCAAACAAGGTAGTGGATGGCAAGAGCCTGGAGCCCCCAGGGCCTGAAACACAGTAGGTGCTCAACCAGCATGTCTTTCTTTAGCCAACAGCTTGGCTTGTTTAGGAAGCAAGATCCCAGAACTGCTGCGGGGATGGGAAGGAGGTGACGGGGGGTGGGGGGGTGCCCAGACGGAGCACAGGAGGGCCCCTGAGAGGAGATGGAGACAATGAGTAGGAGCCGCTAGGCACAGAGGAGAAAGAAGGGCATTCCAGACACGGGGGAACAGCATGTGCAAAGGCCCATGGAGGGAGAGAGTGCACTGGAACACGTGAAGGGCAGCCAGGAGGCTTCAAGCCTGGGGCAGGGGCAGGCCCAATGTGAGATGAGGGTGGGTCACCAGCAGGTCTGATGGACCCGGTAAGATTTGGGGGCTTTATCCCCAGGACAATGGGAGGGCATGGGAGGGCCAGACTTCGGGAGGCCCTCAGTCATCCAGACAGCAGAGTCCAGGGTTGTGGGGAGGGTGGAGGCCATGGAAACAGAAAGAAGGTGGACAGGGCTTTTGGTGACGGACACAAGGATGAGAGAGGGGGTGCGTGTCAAGGTGTCTCCTGGGGTTCTGGCTGGGGTATCCGGGGGACCATTCCCAGAGCTTGAGAACTCAGGAAGAAGACCAGGTTGACGGGAAATTCTAGGAGCTCCGTTTCAGTCACAGTGACAAATGAGCGTTGGTGAGGACACGGGGGGATGGAAGGGTCTGAAGCTCGGGGAAGGGGTTGGAGCTGAGGGCATGTGTGTGATTCCTTGGCCCAGGAGGGGAGAGGGGCATTAATGAGACCCCACGGGGAGAGAGGAGAAGTCGGCCTGGGACCCAGCCATGGGATCCACATTGGGGATTATCAGTAGAAACACGGAATTCCCACCCAGCTTCTCTCCAACAAGCACCCTGTCTGGAATCCATGTGGCCTCCAGCAGCAGGTGTGCCCTGGGCCAGAAACAGGCCGTCAGGACACAGGCCCCAGCCAACAGGAAAACAACGAAAAGCAAACAAACAAAACACAAAAGTCTGATCTTTCACCCCAAAGTCAACGAGAGGTGCTTGGGTTTTTCCACCGTGGAACTCAGCCTCCCTTCACTCCTGACAGAGGAGTTCCGGGTCCCAGCCTCTAACGCTGCCTCCCTTGCTATGGCCCTGCTCCTGTCTCCGTGAGGATGGCCCCTCACTCCTTCTGTCCCTGCATGTCCCCAAAGGCATGCAGAATCCACCTCTCCTGGGATGGAGGCTTAGGTGTTGGCAAACTAATGTTTTGATCCCAGCACTGCCACTTCTTGGCTATGTGACCCAGGGCAAGTCACTTCACCTCTCTGACCCTCAGTGTCTTAAACTGAGAAAGATCCACTTGAAAGAGTTGTGGAGATTAAATGACATAATTATATAGAGGTGCTGGCATAGGTGTGTTTGAATTTAGAGGTTGATGAGGCTCTTGCTTTGTCCCCTGGTGTAAGTGCCACCTCCCCTCACTCCCCAGGAAACCAGGATCTCTAGACCTCATAGCTGCCGGGACAGAAAGGAAAACTCCCAAGGGGGTCACTAGAAGGATGGTAGCACTCCTATCTGAATCCCAGGAGATTACCTCGTGGGGGAAGAGCACCATCTACTGGTCATTGATTCAGGGTGTAGAGTTCATCTTGGAGGATGATGCTGCATCCAAGCAGGATATCATCTCCAAGCTGACACCTCAGCAGCACCTTCCATAACTGCTCCATCGTTCCATCAGGCCAGCATCCTCTGGTGGTGAAATGTGTAAGAGGACCATTGGATCCCATGGCCACATGGTCCTCCCACACCTCCTTTACTGTAAAGAGGGTCGTCCTTTAGTCTAATGTGATGTGTTGTGGTGTTCTGGGTCAGCAGATCAAGCCCTTGGACAGTGGTGCTGGCCAAGACTCTGTGGGCAGGAAAGGCCACCATATCCAGAACAAGGGATCCAATGTAATCGGTTTGCCACCAAGTTGCTGTTCGGTCTTCTCAAGAAACAATGAGTCTCTGTTGCTGGCAGGTCTGATATTCAGCAGCGGTGGTAGCTTGGAGAGCCTGGGTGAGTGGGTCCACGCAGAGCCTCTGCAGAGGCCACATTCATTCGTGTACCGTTGTACCAGCACTGGGCTAGCCAGTCAGAGACTGGCTGATGTCAGCTGGCTGAGTCATTCTATCCGCCTGGTGATTTAGTGCCTCTCGTGTGGTGGCTGCTTCCTGGGGAACATTACTGTGCTTTACAAAAATCTTCATACTCTGTGCCCACTCCCATAGGGCCACCCACTTGACTCTTCCCCGGACCTCTCTGTTCCCAAACTTCCTTCTTTCCTTCCTTCTGACCGAGAAGTCAAGGCGTCTTCTACTGCCCATGAATGCATGTATATTCTTACTTCATGCCGTTTCTCTTTCCACATGAAATAGACCAGGTGCCCTACCCAAAGCTCTGCTCACTGGGAGGACTTCTCACCACTCTCTCTGGAACACCTTGAACAGGTCTGTAGTTCAAGAGCTGTCCAGTTTTACTTGTACCCAAACACTGAGCCACCCATCCTGGAACCGAGTTCAGGCATTTTTCTCCTTTGCCATGAGGTCACAAGGGACCCATCCATAAAGACATAGTATGAGCTGAGGGACCTGGTACAACAGAATGACAACAAGTGGATGACATGAGGGTCTGGGTCACCTGTCCCTGGGGCTTCCTGGAGCCTTCTGTCTCTGCTCACACCTGTTCCTGGGTGAACCACTTACAAAGGATTGCTGTTGGGCTCACTTGACTTTATGACTTGGTGGGTCAGACCCATCTTGGCTGCTTGACAGGGGAATCATTACCATTTACACTTGCCACAGTGTTGCAGGAGCCTTCCTTCTCGGGCCCTGGCCTCTCCTTCAGTCAGTAGGGCCTGGAATCTAAAACCTGCTCAGGTTCACAAACCAGGCAAGGGCTCTTGGCTTTTCATGTAGTGACTGCCCTTTGGGAGGGGCGTATCCTTGGGCGAGGCAGCTCCATTTGGGCTGAGGTAAGTTCCTGAGGAGGGACTCAGCTGTGAGTCATCAGGAGGCTACACACACACACACACACACACACACACACACACACACACACACACAGCAGCTGAGGGAGTGGGCGCCTTGGTCCTGAGGGGGGGAACTGGGTGACACAACATGGCTCCCATTATACGTGTGTTGTACCCTTCCCATATGTCAGATCCTCACTGAGTGTTTGACAAAATTCAGATTTTTTTAATCCTGACCACCACCGTCTAGGTTATGGTTCATGCTTCAGAGACAAGGACACTGTATAAGTTGAGTTTCAGGTGTGGCAGATGTAACAAAAAGACTCAGAATAGCAGTGACTGAGACATTCTCAGAACTTATTTCTCTCTCATTGAAAAGTCCAAGTGGGTATAGCTGGTGGAGGTGAACGTGATGACTCTTCTCCACATGGCTGCCCAGGGCCCAGCCTCCTTCTAGCTTGGTGCTCTGCCACCTCAATACCCAGCTAACATCTCAAAGTCCAAGATGACTGCTCAGTTAACAGGAGGGGAAGTAGGGAAA